ACTGGACAGGACTGGACTAGGATAGGATAGGATAGGATAGGATAGGATAGGATAGGATAAGATTGGACTAGGATAGGATAGGATAGGATAGGATAGTAATAGACTGGACTGGACTGGAAAGGACTGGACTAGGATAGGATAGGATAGGAATAGACTGGACAGGAATGGACTGGACGGGACTGGACTGGACTGGAGTAGGATAGGATAGGATAGGATAGGAATGGACTGGACAGGAATGGACTGGACGGGACTGGACTAGGATAGGATAGGATAGGATAGGATAGGATAGGATAGGATAGGAATGGACTGGGATAGGATAGGATAGGATAGGATAGGATAGGATAGGAATAGACTGGACTGGACTGGACTGGGATAGGATAGGATAGGATAGGATAGGATAGGATAGGATAGGATAGGATAGGATAGGATAGGAATAGTCTGGACAGGAATGGACTGGACTAGGATAGGATAGGATAGGATAGGATAGGATAGGAATAGACGACTGGACTGGACTAGGATAGGATAGGACTGGACTGGACTGGACTGGACTAGGATAGGATAGGATAGGATAGGACTGGACTGGACTGGACTGGGATAGGATAGGAATGGACTGGACTGGACTAGGATAGGATAGGAATAGACTGGACTGGACAGGAATGGACTGGACTAGGATAGGATAGGACTGGACTGGACTAGGATAGGATAGGATAGGAATAGACTGGACTGGACTGGACTGGATGGACTGGACAGGAATGGACTGGACTAGGATAGGATAGGACTGGACTGGACTAGGATAGGATAGGATAGGATAAGAATGGACTAGGATAGGATAGGATAGGATAGGATAGTAATAGACTGGACTGGACTGGACTGGAAAGGACTGGACTAGGATAGGATAGGATAGGAATGGAAAGCACTGGACTAGGATAGGATAGGATAGGAATGGAAAGGACTGGACTAGGATAGGAAAGGATAGGATAGGATAGGATAGAATAGGAATAGACTGGACAAGAAAGGACTGGACTGGAAACGACTGGACTGGACTAGGATAGGATAGGATAGGATAGGATAGGATAGGAATAGACTGGACAAGAAAGGACTGGACTGGACTGGACTGGACTGGACTAGGATAGGATAGGATAGGATAGGAATAGACTGGACAGGAATGGACTGGACTAGGATAGGATAGGATAGGAATGGAAAGGACTGGACTAGGATAGGAAAGGATAGGATAGGATAGGATAGAATAGGAATAGACTGGACAAGAAAGGACTGGACTGGAAACGACTGGACTGGACTAGGATAGGATAGGATAGGATAGGATAGGATAGGATAGGAATAGACTGGACTGGACTGGATGGACTGGACTAGGATAGGATAGGATAGGATAGGAATAGACTGGACAGGAATGGACTGGACTAGGATAGGATAGGATAGGATAGGATAGGATAGGATAGGATAGGATAGGATAGGATAGGAATAGACTGGACAGGAATGGACTGGACTGGACTGGACTAGGATAGGATAGGATAGGATAGGAATAGACTGGACTGGACTGGACTGGACTAGGATAGGATAGGATAGGATAGGATAGGATAGGATAGGATAGGAATGGACAGGAATGGACTGGACTAGGATAGGATAGGATAGGATAGGACAGGATCGGACAGAATAGGACAGGAATAGACTGGACAGGAATGGACTGGACAGGAATGGATAGGATAGGATAGGATAGGATAGGACAGGATCGGGTAGGATAGGACAGGAATAGACTGGACAGGAATGGAATGGACTAGGATAGGATAGGAATGGAATGGAAAGGAATGGAATGGACTAGGATAGGATAGGATAGGATAGGATAGGATAGGATAGGAATGGACAGGAATGGACTGGACTAGGTTAGGATAGGACAGGACTGGATTGGACTGGACTGGACTAGGATAGGATAGGATAGGAATAGACTGGACTGGACTGGACTGGACTAGGATAGGATAGGACTGGACTGGACTGGACTGGACTGGACTAGGATAGGATAGGATAGGAATAGACTGGACTAGGATAGGATAGGATAGGAATGGACTGGACTGGACTGGACTGGACTGGACTGGACTGGACTGGACTGGACTAGGATAGGATAGGATAGGAATAGACTGGACTAGGATAGGATAGGATAGGATAGGATAGGATAGGATAGGATAGGATAGTAATAGACTGGACTGGACAGGAATGGACTAGGATAGGATAGGATAGGATAGGATAGGATAGGAATAGACTAGGATAGGATAGGATAGGATAGGATAGGATAGTAGTATAGACTGGGCTGGACTGGACTAGAATAGGATAGGATAGGACTGGACTGGACTAGACTGGACTGGACTAGGATAGGATAGGATAGGATAGGAATAGACTGGACTAGGATAGGATAGGATAGGATAGGATAGGATAGGATAGGATAGGATAGTAATAGACTGGACTGGACAGGAATGGACTGGACTAGGATAGGATAGGACTGGACTGGACTAGGATAGGATAGGATAGGATAGGATAGGATAAGAATGGACTAGGATAGGATAGGATAGTAATAGACTGGACTGGACAGGACTGGACTAGGATAGGATAGGATAGGATAGGATAGGATAGGATTAGATTGGACTAGGATAGGATAGGATAGGATAGGATAGTAATAGAACTGGACTGGACTGGAAAGGACTGGACTAGGATAGGATAGGATAGGAATAGACTGGACAGGAATGGACTGGACGGGACTGGACTGGACTGGAGTAGGATAGGATAGGATAGGATAGGAATGGACTGGACAGGAATGGACTGGACGGGACTGGACTAGGATAGGATAGGATAGGATAGGATAGGATAGGATAGGATAGGAATGGACTGGGATAGGATAGGATAGGATAGGATAGGATAGGATAGGATAGGAATAGACTGGACTGGACTGGACTGGGATAGGATAGGATAGGATAGGATAGGATAGGATAGGATAGGATAGGATAGGATAGGATAGGAATAGTCTGGACAGGAAATGGACTGGACTAGGATAGGATAGGATAGGATAGGATAGGATAGGAATAGACTGGACTGGACTGGACTAGGATAGGATAGGACTGGACTGGACTGGACTAGGATAGGATAGGATAGGATAGGAATAGACTGGACTGGACAGGACGGGACTAGGATAGAATAGGATAGGTATAGACTGGACTGGACTGGACAGGAATGGACTGGACTGGACTAGGATAGGATAGGAATAGACTGGACAGGAATGGACTGGACTGGACTGGACTGGACTGGACAGGAATGGAATGGAATGGAATGGACTGGACTAGGATAGGATAGGATAGGACAGGACAGGACAGGACAGGACAGGACAAGACAGGAATGGACAGGACAGGAATGAACAGGAATGGACTCGACTAGGATTGTTACTTATTAGAAGTAAAATTGGCAGAAGAACAAGTTAAAGAAACAATGATTGCATGGGGGAAAAATGTTGGTCATGGGATTGATTTAGAGAAATGGGAAAAACTATGGTTGCAGAATTATAAAATGACAATTTCAACAGCATATAAGGAGAATTTATATAAGATGTTTTACAGGTGGCATCTACCCCCGGCGAGAATAGCCCGAATGTACAAGAATAAATGGGAGAAATGTTGGAAGTGTCATCAGATTCCGGGTTCATATTACCATATGTGGTGGACATGTGCAGAAGCTAAAAGATATTGGACTAAAATCCATACATGGTTGGAAAAAATAATAAAGAAACACATTGACAGAGATATTTTTATTAGGGATCTTACCAGAAATATACAATAGAGAATTGAGATATTTAATTGTGAATGTTTTAACGGCAGCTAGAATTGTATTTGCTAAAAACTGAAAAGGAGAGAAGATACCCACGGACGACCATGTTATTAAGAAAATTCTGGAGTGTGCTGAAATGAGTAAATTGACATTTGAAATTAGGGAACAAGAAGATAAACAATATTATGTGATATGGGATTTATTTTATCAATGGTTAGACAATGATTAGATAAGAAGGTTAGACGGCCTGGTGGCTCAGCAGACTCATAGCATTGTGATTAACACCAGCTGTCTGCAATTACTGTAAGTTCGAATCTCACCAGGCTGAAGGTTGACTCAGCCTTCCATTCTTTCTAAGGTAGGTAAATTGAGGACCCAGTTTGTGGGGGCAATAAACTGACTTTGTATAAATATACAAAAGGATGAAGGCTATTGCTTAACACATTGTAAGCCGCCCTGAGTCTCCGGAGAAGGGCGGCATATAAAATCAAATTAAAAAAAAAAAAAGAATGGAAATGAAATATGAAATGGATAAGATAATAAAACATATAAAGAGGGGTTTTTATCCCTTATGGAGGATAAACTACTGTCAAATAATTGGTAAATGAGAATAATAATGTAATAAACTGTTAAATAAGAAAATGTTGGATAGAGGATTAAGCACAAAAGATTTGTAACCGATCAATACACTTTCTGTAATTGTAATGGATGATGATTGTTTTATGTTTTAAGTTTTGTTTAAAAATAAAAAAAAATTCTCAAAAAAAAGAAAAAGAGAGAGAGAGAGAGATCCCTTCCAAGTCTGTTAATCTGTTATCTCTTAATCAATCTTCCCCACTCGTATTCTTTGTGATATTCCCCATGAAATTTCCTCACTCACTTTTCTGAGCAATGCAGAGATCTAACCTCAGACATCTGGAGAGCCCCCTGATCCATTCCCCCCCCTCCCCATCAAGATGGAAAGATTTTAAAAAAAGAAAAACTTATGGAAAATTATGGCCCGTTCCCATCTCCAAACCAGCAGAGATCTCAACCAGCCTTGTGATTCAGTAGCTCATCCTCCGCGAACAGCCCCTCCAAGTGCCTAAATATTTTTGCAAGTCTATCGAATTGTTAGTGTGCAAAATAAAAAATAAAAAATGAAGAAATGGTTTAGGGAGGGCGATGAAGAGACTGACCTCCAGGTTCTCCGGCCCGGTGTGGCTCCAGACGCAAAGATTCTTCTCCGAGGATCCGGACACTCCCTTGGTCTTCTCCGAATCGAAGTCAAGGCTCATGACCGGCTCCTGATGACATGTGAGCCGACTCAGCATTCGCCCCATGGATAAATTCCACAGAACCACTGATCCGTCCTCGTAGCCGGCCAGAAGGTGAGGATGAGAGCCAGCGTTGGGCTGAGGGCAGAGACAGCAAACATAGGATGAAGGCAAACCCAGGTAGTCTTACCTTACCTTACCACAGTTCACTTAGTAGTCAAAGTTAACCCAACAAGAGAGAGAGACTTCAGAGGATCATTAGAACGGCAGAAAAAACCATGGCTACCAACCTGCCTTCCATGGAGGACCTGTATACTGCACGAGTCAAAAAGAGGGCTGTGAAAATATCTACAGACCCCTCGCATCCTGGACATAAACTATTTCAACTCCTACCCTCAAAACGAGGCTATAGAGCACTGCACACCAGAACAACTAGACACAAGGACAGTTTTTCCCCAAATGCCATCACTCTGCTAAACAAATAATTCCCTCAACACTGTCAAACTATTCACTAAGTCTGCACTACTATTAATTTTCAGATTAATAGTCTGACGACATCTCCGTGGTCAAGACGCTTTTATTCCAACAAGCCGGGCTGGCCTAATTTTTAAATTTTTTAATCGTTAATTCTTAATTTTTAAATGTCTAAAACGGGTAGTTTTATTTTAATTAGATATGGGCCAAATTATTTAATATCTCTTAAATTGTTTTTAAATTTTATATTTGTGTGTTTTATTCTGGCTATACACCGCCCTGAGTCCTTTTGGGAAAAGGGCGGTATATAAATTAAACAAACAAATAAAATAAAATAAAATAAAATAAAATAAAATAAAATAAAATAATAAAATAAAATAAAATAAAAGTGGCTGGCATGATTCAACGCCAAAGGCGCACAGAACGCTGTTCCCTTCCCACCAAAGGTGGTCCCTATTTTTCTACTTGCATTTTTTACCTGCTTTCGAACTGCTAGGTTGGCAGAAGCTGGGACAAGTCACGGGAGCTCACCCCGTTACCCGGCGCTAGGGATTCGAACCGCTGAACTGCCGACCTTTCGATCGACAAGCTCAGCGTCTGAGCGCTATACTATGCATAGAATAGCCCAAAGCACGCATTCTTGGAGAGAGAAGTTCGCTGAGGATGGGGCTCCAACACGAGTCCGAAAGCTCGGAAAACTAAACCTCTGATCCCGCTAACCCAGACTGGTCCTAAATCAAGGACCACCTGTATCGGTGGCACCTACCCCCGACGAGGATAGCCACAATGTTCAAGAATAAATCGGAGAAATGTTGGAATGTCAGACTCCAGGATCATATTACCATATGTGGTGTAGAAGCTAAGAGATATTGGACTAAGATACACACGTGGTTGGAAAAAATGATAAAGAGACATATTGACTTTAGACCAGAGATATTTTTATTAGGGATCTTACAATAGAGAATTGCAATATAACTCTTTTAATTGGTTAATTTTAATTTGTTTTTAAAAATAGGGGTTTTAATTAGTATGGGCCAAATTTATTTAATACATTTTAAATTGTTTTTTAAATTTTATATTGTATGTGTTTTATCTTGGCTGTTCACTGCCCTGAGTCCTTTGGGAGTAGGGCGGAATATAAATCTAATAATAATAATAATAATAATAATAATAATAATAATAATAATAATAATAATAATAATAATAATAAAATAATAATAATAAAAAATTGTGAATGTTTTAACAGCGGCAAGAATTGTATCTGCTAAAAATTGGAAAGGAGAGAAGATACCTGCTGCTGATGAAGCTATTAAGAAAATCATGGAATGTGCTGAAATGAGTAAATCGACACTTGAAATTAGAGAACAGGAAGATAAACAATATTATTTGATATGGGATTTGTCCTATCAGTGGATAGATAATAAAACATGGAGATGAAATATGAAATATGAAGTTGATGTAAAGATAAAATATGTGAAGTTCTTTTTCATGAGTAATAAGCTTTTGTTATATATTGGGTACTCTGAAGATGGGATTAAGCACAGAAGAATGTTAAACCGATCGACACGCTGTCTGTAATTGTTTGGCACGATGATGGTTTTATGTTTTGTTTTTGTTTTAAAATAAAAAAAAATTCAAAAAAAAAAAGTATCAACGTGGCTGCTCCATCCGTGCTATTTTTCGCCACCGTTTCACAACCCTCATCGCCGGCCCCACGTTGGCCTTGGTGTCAAACCCTTGCTACAGAACAGGCTGATAGGTGTGCGATTGTGCGATTGTTTCGTTTGCATGTGGATTTATGGCTTGTGCGGCACCTCGGGTAGTCTGCTCTGCTCCCTTTGTTTGGGCTCCAGGCAGGCTGACATATTTCCCCCTGCTTTGCAGGAGGATGTTTTATTATCGTCTCGATACCGATCAACTCCTCCGAGGCAAGTCACACACTTTCCCGGCCAACAGGGCGAGGTTAAATTTGCATGTGCGCGCATGTACGTACACACACACACACAAACACACACACACACACCGTCTTCCCTTCTTTTTCCCACAGGGGGAAACCGGGATTGTTCTTAAGAAAACGCATGTACCAACATTTCCAGCGAAGGATGTGATTCATACCCAGGTTGTCCTCGACTTACGACTACAAACGAGCCCCAAATTTCTACGGCTCAGTGAGTTTGGCTTCCACCGTTTTTACGACCTTCCCTTGCCGCGGTTGTTCAATGAATCACTGCAGTTGTTAAGTGAGTCCCACATGGTCATAAAGTGAATCCAGTTTCCTCCATGGATTTTCCTTGTTGGAAGGTCGCGAAAGAGGACTTGCGTGAACCCGGGAGACTGCGAACGTTGTTAACAGATTAATAGAATTGGAAGGGACCTGTAGGTCATCTAGTCTCACCCTTTCCCCCCCCCCCAAGCAGAAGATAGTTTCTGACAGATGGCTGTCCAGTCTCTTCTTGAAAGCCTCCAGTGATGAAGCTCCCACAACTTCCGAAGGCAACTTCTGTTCCATCAGTTGATTGTTCTCACTCTCAGAAAATTCCTCCTTATTTCCAGGTTGAATCTCTCCTTGTTCAGTTTCCATCCATTATTCCTTGTCTGGCCTTCGGGGGCCTTGGAGAATAGCCTGACCCCCTCCTCATCTCTGTAGCAGCCCCTCAAGTATTGGAAGACTGCTCTCCTGTCTCCCCTGGTCCTTCTCTTCACTAGAGTAGCCATGCCCAGTTCCTGCAACCTTCCTTCATGTTTTAGTCTCCAGACTTTTGATCATCTTAAATAGACTCAGATTAACAGAGTTGGAAGGGACCTTGTAGGTCATCTAGTCCAACCCCCCACCACCCAAGCAGGAGACCCTACACCATTTCTGACAGATGGCAGTCCAGTCTCTTCTTGAAAGCCTCCAGGGATGAAGCTCCCACAGCTGCCGAAGGCAACTTCTGTTCCATGGGTTGATTGCTCTGTCATAAATTTATCCTTAATAATTATTAATACATGCCAGTTGCCAATTGCCCAAATTTTGATCACGTGATCAAGGGGATGTTACGACAGTCCTTAATGGCGAGAACCTGTTTTAAGTCCCTTTTTTTCAACGTTGTGAAAACTTCGAACCCATCGCTACACGAATGGCTTTTCAACTTTAAGTACCGTATCATTAAGTTTGTGAACTCATGGGTGTGCTTTATGACCAAAGCATTTACTTTACGACGGCCACGTTTGCTTAACAACCCCACCCCCCTAAATGTCACAAAACCAGGCCAGTCACACACTTAACAACCGGCTATGATATGACTGTAATTCCAAGCTCAATAATGGTCGTAAGTCGAGGACGGTTAGCCTAACTGAAGGTGATTCTTGTTTCCCTCCTGCCTTTAAACAGCATAATTCCAGGTAGTCCTCAATCTACAACAGTTCATTTAGTGACCAAAGTTATAATGGCAATGAAAAAAGCGACTTATGACCATTTTTCATACTTACGACCTCTGTCGCATCCCCGTGACCATGTGATCAAAACTCGCTGGGCGAACTGACTCATACTTATGACTGTTGCTGTCTGCCTCAAGGTTGTGTGATCCCCTTTTGCGACCTTTTGGTAAGGGGGAAGCCAGATTCCCTTAACACCGTATTATTTAACTTATCCACCGCAGCGATTCACTTAACAAGGTCGTAAAATGGCGTGAAACCTGCTTTCACAAATGTCTCGCTTAGCCACAGAAATGTTGGGCTCAAATCGTGGTCGTGTTGTGGCCCGCAGAGCTGGTAGCAGATTCGGACAGCGAGGAGGTTGGGGAGGAACGTGGGCCAGTCCTGGAGTCTGGGGAAGGCTCTGATGAGGGCTCTGCATCGGAGGCAGAGAGGGGGCCAGGGCCATCTGGTAGTTCTTTGCTGCCTCCGGAGTCTCCGGAGTCTGACATCAGCAAGGCAGAAGAACAGCGGAAGCCTGTTCCCAGTGTGTACATGCCAGGAGACAGGAACAATTAAGGAAACAGGGTCGACTTGGGAGTAAGGCTTGGTGATGATTGCCCCCCCCCCCCCCATTAGACATAAAAAAGAAGCGAACGGGACATGAGCTTTTGCAGGAAGCAATTAGTTCATCTGGCCAATTCAAGATTTGAAACTTCTGTTTGTGACTCTGTGCCAAGTTTGGCCTTGCCCTGCGTCTGGAAATCAGCTCTCTGGCAGCGTTCCACGTGAGATAGGTGGGTGTTGATAAACCTTCCTTTGAAAGACTGTTTATCAAGCCTTGCGGGCTGTAAAGGAAAGTAATTTACAGCCGTATGAATTAAAGAGGTCTGCCGGGACTACGTTTGTGCTGTTTAACTTCTAAGGAAGCTTAAGTCAGAACAGGTCGTTAAGTCGAGGACTACATGCAGCTGATGGCCTGTGGACAATCTTTGGAAAGAAATAATTCTTGTAAGAAAGGATGATTCATGAGTTTCCGCCTCTCGGTCTGTGTGCAGGGAAAGTGTTTCCTAATTAGCTCCTGGTTGGCTTACCTGCCACATCCTCAGAGACATGGGCATGCCCAGCTTGGCATCCGTCTCCGGCTTCAAGGTACAGATTGATGTCTTGGATGGCAGCTCCACAACACGAACCTGATATTCAAGAAACAAGTCGAATTGGTTACCAGCCAGACACCATGGAACACAAGCGAAAAGTTTTCGAGTCTTTTGCAAACAAGCCCATATGTAATATATGTGGGTATGTGCATAATTTCGTATTTATCTTACTCTTTTGTCATGCTTATGTAGCTGTATGTTGGAGGTGGTGACCCTTTGAGAGCCGTATGCCACGAAATTTCATTTTAACGTACGTCGATTAGTGTATATTTAAAGTGACAATAAAGTTATTCTGTCTGCACAAGAAAGATATATTTCGGAATGGAGAAAATGGATTGACTATACTCAAAATAAGTATCAGACAAGAAAATATCATATAGCTTATGATTGAACGTTAAGTATTAGAGGTATTTAGTTATCTATAGTGGAGTTATTCAGGGGGGGAGTTAGTAGTCTGAGGATAAGTAGGTTAATCTAGTTTATGATTGTTAAATGAAACACCTTGTATTTTGCTCTGGGAAGTCTGGGGGGGAGGGTGGGATGAGGGGAGGGAAAGGGTGGAGGGAATATGGGGGGGAAGAAAATTTTTGTTTTTTGTAAAACTTTTCAATAAAAAAAGAAGTTATTCTGTCTGTCATCCATCCGTCCGTCTTATCCACGGATAAGAGCCACAGTGGCACAGTGGTTAGAGTGCAGTACTGCGGGATACTTCTGCTGATCACCGGCTGCCAGCAGTTTGACAGATCGAATCTCACCAGGCTCAAGGTTGACTCAGCCTTCCGTCCTTCCGAGGTGGGTAAAATGAGGACCCAGATTGTTGGGGGCAAGAGGCTGACTTTGTAAACCGCTTAGAGAGGGCTGGAAAGCATTGTGAAGCGGTATATAAGTCTAAGCGCTACTGCTAGTGCCCTTCCTTCCTTCCTTCCTTCTTTCCTGCCACCAAAGGCGGTCCCTGTTTTTCTACTTGAATTTTTAACCGGCTTTCGAACAACTAGGTTGGCAGAAGCTGGGACAAGGAATGGGAGCTCACCCCGTTACGCAGCACTAGGGATTCGAACCACTGAACTGCCGACCTTATGATCGACAAGCTCAGTGTCTTAGCCACTGAGCCACCGTGTCTACTCTTATTCTATTCTATTCTTATTATTCTATTCTAGTATTCTACTCTACTGTTATTCTATCCTATTCTTATTATTCTATTCTAGTATTCTACTCTACTTATTCTATTCTATTCTTATTATTCTATTCTAGTATTCTACTCTACTCTACTCTTATTCTATTCTTATTATTCTAATATTCTACTCCACTCCACTCCACTCTACTTATTCTATTCCATTCTTATTATTCTATTCTAGTATTCTACTCTACTCTACTCTACTCTACTCTACTCTATTTTTCACACCAAGAACACCACAATCTTCCTCCTCCTCTCTGCAAACCCCACTTCTTTCTAGCACTGATGATGTTACCTACTTTGGTAATGAAACGTCGGCAAGAAAAGATCCAAGCTCAAGACTCCCATGCATTCACACAACCCATTTGCTACCCCCAACAGGAGGGTAGTTCCACGGGTGAGGGGGTTCGATAAATTTAATTTCTTTCAGTAGTCTTTCAATATTTTCCCACTTCCTGTTCCCCTCCCCCCCCCCCCCCCGAGCCTTGGCCTCCTTCCCAGTTTTATGCACGTCTACCGAAATTAAAAAAAAAATTAAAAAATGCATTTGCTCGTCAAAATGCAATTTTTCAGGCTGCACACGGAGTAGTTAGAAGGTGGCCTTGCCAGCCCAGCGTGTTGCATTCAACACACCACTTAAAAATTAACCTTCAAAACTAACCCTGCGCCTTTGTGCCGAAGGCCCCCCCCCCTCCCGGCTCTCTCCCGGGGAGAACATAAAAATGAGACCAAGCTGTTTCAGGAACACGAATGCCAGTTGGAAGAGTTTGTGGATTGTATTTCAATTCCTGCAGTGTGTTGTGTGTGTGTATGTGTACCTGAGGCGGGGTGGGGGGGGGGAAGGGAGGGGGGGAAAAAGAGGAATGGCCCCACATCTATATAATTTACGGCTGACACATTTTTCAACGCAAAGGACAGCAAGCTGAGCTGAAGCGGGGGGGGGGGGGGGGGAAACTCTGAATGGATCTTGGGAGAGAATTCAATTGGTCTTGCTCGGTTCCGCTTTGGGTACCGCCAAGAGAGTCAGCGGAGTTCGGGCACGTGCAGAAATTCGACGGCACTGGAGGCCTTTAGAGGAGATGCACCAACTGTGAAATGGGCTGCCTGGTCCTACCGTAGATTTTGTTTTTGTTTTTTTTGAAAGGAAGAATATGGGAAGAAGCTGGCTTATTTATTATTACTATCCATATAGATCTGTCTCTTTCTTTCTCTCTCTCTTTTCCTTTCCTTCTTTCGTTTCCCTCCCCTCCCCTCCCCTCTCCTTTCCCCTTCCTTCCTTCCCTTCCCCTTCTTTCCTTCCTTCCTCCCTTCCCCTTTCCCTTCCCTCTTCTTTCCGCTCCCTCCCTCCCCCTTCCTTCCTCTCTCCCTCCCTCCCTTCCCTTTCCTCTTTTCCCTTCTCTTCCCTCTCCTTTCCCCTTCCTTCCCTTTCCTCTTTTCCCTTCCCTCTCCCTTCCTTCCCCTTCCCTCCTTTCCCCTCCCTCCCCCTTCCTTCCCTTTCCTCTTCCTTCCTTCCTCTTTTCCTTCTTCCCTTTCTCCCTCTCCCTCCCTTCTTTCCCTTCCCTCTCCTTTCCTTCCTTTCTTTCTCCCTTCCCCTTCCTCCCTTCCCCTTTTCCCTTCCCTTCCCTCTCCTTTCCCCTCCCTCCCTTCCTCTCTCTCTCTCCCTTCCCCTCCCTTCCCTTTCCTCTTTTCCCTTCCCTCTCCTTTCCCCTTCCTTCCTTCCTCCCTTCCCTTCCCCTCCCCTCCCTTTTCGTTAATAGCAGTAGCTCTCAATCCTCACAACTTTAAGATCTTTGGATTTTACCTCACAGAATTCTCCCATCAGCCATGCTGATTGCGGGGAATTCTGGGAGCTGAAGTCCATACATCTTAAAAGTTGCCATGGTTGAGGAGCACTGTTGGAAGAATCTACATGCGTAGCATTCCCATCTCCCCTTTCTTTTGCCCATAAGATGAGCTAGGTAGGATGACGAGCGAGTGAGCAGCCCACCAAATCATCTCTCGAGACTTCTCTTTTGACTGAGATTGGCCTCAAACATAAACCTAGTCTTCTCACAGACTTCTCATGGCAGGGATCGGCCTCAATCATGGTCCTTTGTCTTCTCTTGGACTTCTTTTGACTGAGATTGGCCTCAAACAAAACCTATGACTTCTCACAGACTTCTCATGGCAGGGATCGGCCTCAAACATGGTCCCAGTCCCAGTCTGACACACCAGTATTGCTTGTTCCAAGATTGGACAAGTTGTGGCATGAGTATCTTTGGCTAGATTGACAGAATCTTCACCCATGTAGCCGTCGGGCCTGGGGAAAATAATATCCTACTTAGCATGTAATTTAAAACCAGGAGGAGAAGGTTTCCCCAGGAAAAAAAAAATGTGTGGTTTTTTTTTACTTTTGCCGGGGGTTAATAAGGTTCTTCGGTGGCTACAAGTCACCCCCAAGAAAATGAGGGTTTGTTTTTTTTTTTGCACATTTCTAAGGCATTTTAAACATGTTTCGGGCAAATTGGCAAGAGAAATGCATGTTTCTGGCGGTTTTAGGGCAATCGGGAACAAATAAATGCCTGCTCAGATCTTATTATTCATAGACAGAACCTGCTTCAAGGGGAAAAAAAAAATCTATTTTGGCTAATGGCCAAGTGTAAACACATATTAAGTCTTCGTGTTAATCATAAGCCTCAAAGTGCTTTGGCTTGGTGTTTAAGGAGGTTTCCAGGTTTTGTGGAGTTTCTTTTGTGTTCCAAATTTTTTATTAGTTCATCACTTAGACATGAGCTGGCCGTGTGCGGTGGCAGCCAAAAAAGCGAATACAATCCTTGGTTGTATAAACAGAGGCACAGAAGTATTAGTACCGCTTTATCAATAAGCCCACCCCTGGAATACTGGATCCAGTTACAAAAAAGAATGTTGAAACTTTGGGAAAAAAGTGCAAAAAAGAGCAACTAAGATGATCAAAGGCCTGGAGACTAAGACATATGAAGAGCGGTTGCAGGAATTGATGTGATGAGATCAACAGAACTATCAATATGCAGATGGGAAACGGTTGTGGCCTCTTGGCCACCGGCCCCTCCAACAGCCGAATTAGAGGAGGAGGAGGAGGAGGCGGTGTGGGAGTCAAAATCGGCATCAAGACAACCTGAGGGGGAAGAGGGAATGGAGCTGTCAGAGAGAGAGAGAGAGAGAGACATAGGCGGAGCCTGGGCCATCCGTCAATCCTCAGATGGAGAGTCAACAGCCCTCAGGTCTGGAGGTGGCTGATGAGGAGGAGGAGGAACAGCTGGGTCCAGTGCCTGATGCGCAGATGCTCAGAAGGCAGAGGAGAGGAGAGCAGTGGAAATCTATGGGCCGGTCCTTGGGACGGAAGAGCCACCGCTGCTAGCAAAGCCCCACCTTAGCTCTGGGGATAAAAGGCAGGGGGCGGAGATGAATAGCTGTGGCAGACAGCTATTCATCTCCCTGCCGGACAGACTTGTTAGCCTGCTGACTTTTTGCTGGGCCTGCTGGCGCTCCTAATAAAGGAATCGTTGATTGCTTACAGAGGGTTTGTCATGTTTGGGGAGCTGGGTCAGAACAGAAACCCTGGTGAAAACTGGGACATCCCACCACCGCCATCAAAGAAGATCTAATTCGTTTAACTGATGCAACGGATTCTGATGTCCCCTCTTCCCGTTGAGTTCATTGATCCAGCAATATTTCCCACTGTCCAACTGATGAAACCAGAGCGACCTTCCAGATTCCTTATGAGACAGGAGGGTCTTATACTATAAATCGTATTAATCTATGCATTGTATTATTCACAGTATTATGGTGCTCTCAGAAGTGTTGACATGGGAGTAGACGTTATGTTGCAAACCTCAGGAAAGTACAAGGAACAAGGTACTTTCGAGACCGTCTTCTGCCACCAGTAGCCTCCCACTGGCCAGTCCGCTCACACAGAGAGGGTCTCCTCAGGGTGCCATCGGCCAAATTATGTCGGCTGGCGACACCCAGGGGGAGGGCCTTTTCTCTGGGAGCCCCAGCCCTGTGGAATGAACTGCCCCCGGAAATACGTAAGATCTCTGACCTCCGGGTGTTTCGCTACGCACTGAAGACCCTGTTGTTCCGCCAGGCCGGGCTATCAATATAAATATTTTAATTGGTTTTAAATTGGGTTTTTAAATTTGGGATTTTATAAATTGGGCCTACTATTTAATAATTTTAATTATTTTTAAATATTGTCTGTCTTTGTGTTTTTAATTAGGCTGTACACCGCCCTGAGCCCTTCGGGAGAAGGGCAGTATAGAAATAAAATTAATAAAATAAAATAAAGAAAGAAATAAGGAACTTGTTAAATGTACTGATGAGCTTAATGACCGATGTTCTATATCATTTCTGTAGTGAATTTATATTAAGCAATATGTCACCAGACGTGTCAACGGAAGATAACAGACAGTGTAAGATAGTACCCATATATGGAAATAAAGTCAGAGGCGTAACGCCTCTGGCGTGGCTAGAATTGCGAAATGTATAAAAGGTACACCTTGGGCGTAGCCCGGGGTTCAGAATCTGACATGTGAATGCTCCGAACCTTTGCTAGCAAATAAACCTGTGTTCTCCAACTTCTGTGGTCCTGTCTCCTGCATTTGGGAAAGTGGGCTTTCCCGCTTCATTTCAACACCATTCCCATGACTCCTTGCCATGGGCCAAGCTCAGAGGAACATCTTGGAGAGTCCTTGGCCAACACGCACGGCAGAGCAAGGGGGGTTGGGCTCAAACTCGATTTCATTGAGGGCCACATCAGGGTTGTGTTTGACCTCGGAGGGCCGGGGAGGGGGGGCATGGCCACGGTGGGCATGGCCAGCTCGACATCACTTGTGTCAGGGGGCACCGGTGGTGGCCAAGTGAGTGAATGAGGGTCTCAGGGTGCCTGAGACCCTCCCTCACTCTCATTATAATCTTCCTTCCTTCCTTCCTTCCTTCCTTCCTTCCTTCCTTCCTTCCTTCCCTCCCTCCCTCCCTCCCTCCCTCTCCATTCTTTCTTCTTCCTTCCCCTCTTTCCTTATTTTTCCTTCCTTGCTCTCTTCCTACCTTTCCTTCTTTTTTTTCTTTTCTCTTTCCCTTTCTTCTTTCCCATCCCTTCTTGCATGCTCAAATGCAAAAGGGGAAACATTTCTCCTTTTGTTTTGTTTTTAGTTCATTTTAATAGCCCTCTGCCAGCGAAAACCGAGCTTGGGAGGGCCGCGCATGCCCCCCCCGCGCCCCATTTTCGTTCACGATGGCCTCCTGTAGCCCTCGGCCAGCGAAAACAGGGCACAGGGGGGGCACGTGCATCCCCCCAGCTCCATTTTCGCTGGCAGAGGCACCGTGGGCCAATCCCTTGTTGTTTCCAGGCCGGCCTTGCGGGCCAGATTCTAAGCACCCTGTGGGCCGCATCCGGCCTATGGGCCTTGAGTTTGACACCCGTGTGTTAGAGGAATGACTTACCTCTTCTAACCCTTTCCACGGAGTGGCCAGGAGAGACCGTTTCTCTGTCACCTCAGAGAGGGAACATTTGCAGAACCCAACGTTCTCCGTGAAAAGGCTTTCCGTGACGACGTTCCTTCCTTCGGATAAATCCCACAGGCAGATGTTCTGGTCACGGCCCTGACTTTGAAAATCAAAATGGTTGTCACATGAAAAGTCCACTGGGGAGAATATTCATTCACTTCTCCAGGGGTTTATTTAGTTACTGGCTGATAACCCGGTATTGCCCGGTTTTTATTGATTTATCCCAATCCTGTATTAGACAGTCTCATAGTGGTGCAGGCAGTAATGTTTTATTGACCATCAAAGTCTTGTTGAAAATGTCCAGCCCAAACGTAATTTCTGATGTTGGATTGTCCCCTTTACCAGAAGGAATCGCCTTGTGGAGTACTGTGAAGCCGTTACCATGGTAACTCCACTGTGCTGTACAGTAGACGCCATTTTAAGGCAGTCCAGTAGAAGCCGTTTTAAGGCACAACAGGCTGTATCTTAACAGAACACTTCCCCTCCACGAGGGGTGTTAGGGGTGTCTTACCCCCCACAGTGTTTCCAGAGAGTTAGTCATCTGTGTATCAAGTTTGGTTAAATTGCTCAAGGCGTTCCAGTGTTATGCTGGAACATACACATCCAATTTTATATATATAGATTTAGCGTATGTCTCCTGTGTCATTCAGTTTCATGGCAGTTCCTTAATGAAACTCCATGTTCCTAGTCAACCCCCTCCTTGAACACAACTCTGCCTTAAATGTCCAGCTCAAGAGGTGACCCCAGACTACAGGTACAACAGTTCATTTAGTGACTATTCAAGGTGACAACAGCACTGAAAAAAGTGACTTACGACCATTTTTCACACTTATAACCATTGCAGCATCCCCGTGGCCACGTGATTTATATTCAGATGCTTGACAACCGTTTCATATTTATGACGGCCGCAGTGTCCCGGGGTCATGTGATCCCTTTTACAATCTTCTAACAAGCAAAGTCAATGGGGCAGCCAAATTCACTTAACAACTGCGTTTCCACCCTAATAACTGCAGGGATACTTAACGACCGTGGCCAGAAAGGTCATAAAATGGGGCAAAACTCACAACTGTCTCACTTAGCAACAGAAACGTTGGGCTCAACTGTGGTCATAAGTCGAAGCTTATTTGTAATCAATGTTACCAAACTTGAATTACGCCTTGTTAAATGTAGGCTCACCTAAGAAGCCCATTTCTTCTATTGGATAATGTTTTCACACAGTACACTGAATTTCCACCGTGGCCATTCAGGCTGCCACAGACTCGGCGCGTCTTCAGATTCCAGATATGGACCAGTCCGTTAGAAGATCTGTTTTAAAACCAAAAAATGAAAAGAAAAAGGAGAATTAACCAGGATTGTGACATTCTGACTTGGCATTTAATACTGTGTTTCCCCCCAAATAAGACGGGGTCGTATATTAATTTTTGGCTCCAAAAGATGCATTATGGCTTATTTTCCGGTTAGGTCTTATTTTGGGGAAAATACAGTACTAAACGCCTCCGTCTGCTGACGATCTTAACTGGGGCTTATTTTTGGGGTAGAGCTTATATTATGGGCATCCTGAAAAATCATGCTACGACTTATTTTCCAGTTGGGTCTTATTTTCGGGGAAACAGGGTACAACAGATCTTGCACACGGTTGTAAAGAGCGAGAAGCTAAAAAGATGAGATAATTACATTTTCATCTTGGTTAAATGAAACATCCCCTCTAGTTCCTTTGCTGTTTCCGTGGGTCTGTTACACATTTTAAACCACTTAGATGGGATAACTTGTAAAATAATATACAGTAAGTGGCAGTATAAATATCATATTTCTTGCATTTGTAAAAGTAAAGGTTTTCTCTGTCCAGTCATGTCCGATTCTATAGCACGGTGCTCAGCTCCGTTTCTTGGCTGAGCCAGCGTTGTCCGAAGACAATTTCCATGGTCATGTAGCCAATATGGTTATATGCCAAAGGCACACAGAATGCTGTTGCCTTCTCACCAAAGTGGTACCTATTTATCTACTCGCATTTGCATGCTTTCGAACTGCTAGGTGAGCAGGCGCTGGAGCAGGGAACAGGAACTCACCCCGTTGCATGGAGCTCAAGTCTCGAACCTGTCAGTTCTCCAGCCGACAAGCCCAGTGTCTTTAACCATTGAGCCATAGCGCCCCCCTCCCCTTGTATTTGTACTTGCAGTCAGCTGTACGAGGGGGTCCTTGGTGCTCTCTGAGCTTGCTTGTTTTCTTGCAGACCCTAACTAGGTTAACGTCATCGGTGCTAGTAAACTTGCATGTTCTTTCTTTACTCACCCTGAGTAAAGAATGGGAAAATCTGGATCTGGGTTTGAACACTGAAAACACAGTGTGTTAATGCCACTGTTTGTTCCTCGTAAAACGTAGACAGGATCTGGCGCAGGAACAGCCGTCATGACACAGCCGATTAGAAGTTCCTGAAAAAGGAAAAGGAAGAAAGGAAGATGGAAATGCGAGCTGGCTCAATCAGGCTGCTTGACCTCTTGACCACACAGTCGCCTTGAAATAAATAAAACTTTTAAAAAGAAAATCTTAAAACAAGTTAAAAGCCTCCCAACTTCATTTGCATTTCTTCCAAAATGCACAAGTTTGGACAATACTACAGGCAATCCTCAAGTTGTGACTGTAACTGAGCCCGGAATTACAGTCATAAGTCATTGCAGTCATTAGCCGAAGAACTCATGTCATCAAAAGTACCGTATTTTTCAGACTATAAGACGCACCTAAATTTAGAAGAGAAAAACAACCAAAAAAAGTTTTTAGCCTCCACATGCACCATTTTCTGCCCTTTTCCAGCCTTTTCTCAGCTCGTTTTCAGGGCTTTTTTGGCCCATTTTTGAGGCTTTTTTCGGTTCGTTTTTGAGGCTTGAAGACAAACCTTGAAAACAGGCCAAAAAAAGCCTTGAAAACAGGCCAAAAAAAGCCTTGAAAACAGGTCAAAAAAAGCCTTGAAAATGGACCGAAAAAAGCCTCAAAACGGGCTGAAAAAAGGTCTGAAAAAGACTGAAAAAAGGCCCAAAAATGGGGTGTGCGGAGCCCAAAAAACGGTCGGCGGGTGGGTGGGGCTTCGACAATATTTGGTCTATAAGACACACAGACATTTTCACCCCTTTTGGGGAGACAAAAAAAGTGCGTCTTATAGTCTGAAAAATACGGTAGTTTTCAAAAAAAGTTTTTGCGGTGGTTTTTAAGCAAAAGCATTCGTTTCAATGGTCTTTTCTTGATGGCAAACTGCAGAAAACTGGGGAGATAGGCTGGGAACTATCAAAAAACATGGTGAACCATTGGTCACACGATTGTGGAATGCTGTGACCCAACCCCCAGTAGTCAAGTGGCCATTGGGGGCATGACTATTTATGAAAACCGTATGTGTGTGTTTGCTTTAGGGCCCAGAAAGCACTTGTTCTATCACAGCCATAACTTTGAACAGTCATAAAACAGCAAGCAAGGACTGCCTAACGATAACTAACAATCTGAACTGGTCTCTCCACACGTCATCCTTAGTGAAGCATGCAAACCAGCATTTGCATTTCCTGCGTCGGATGAGGAGAGCACATCTTTCTCCTCCTGTCCTGGCTATTTCTTTACAGAGGCACGATTGAGAGCGTTTTAACAAACTGCATCACTGTTTGCAGTTTGGTGGCAGTAGCGCTTTAGATAGAAAGTCCCTACAGAGAGTGGTGAGGACAGCGGAGAAGATTATAGGAAGCTCGCTTCCCATTAGTCAGGATGCTGCTTATAAGCGCTATGTGCTTGGAGCTTGAAGCATTGGTTAGAGATCCCCCCCACACACACACCCATGATCTGTTTCTGCTGTTCCCCTCTGGGAGGAGATTTTGAAGTATTTCTAGCAGGACTATTAGATTCTGTAAAAGCTTTGTTCCTTATTCCACCCGTTTTGTAAACTCACAGGATTATTTTTTCTCCATCATATATATGTATACATCCAAACTAGACTGATGTTTCTCTGAGTCATATATATGTGTGTATGCATACTGATTGAGAGTTGAATGCAAGGAAAATTTGTTTTAATGTATGCTGATTAGTGTACAATTAAAGTGACAATAAAGTCTTCTATTCTATTCTACTGTATTCTATTCTTCTATTCTATTCCTTTTGTTTCTACTTCTCTCGTTCTTTTCCTTCTCCCTCTTCTTTCCCTCCTCATTCTATTCTATTCTATTCCTTTTGCTTCTGCTTCTCTCATTCTTCTCCTTCTCCCTCTTCTTTCCCTCATCCTCCTTATTCTATTCTATTCGCTTCTACTTCTCTCATTCTTCTCCTTCTCTCTCTTCTTTCCCTCCTCCTTCTCCTTCTCCTCCTCCTCCTTCTATTCCATTCCATTCCATTCCACCTGCGGTTGACGTCTGAACCAGACTGAGCAACCTAAGTTACAATTGATGGGTGAGATCAACGATTAGCCGGGAATTTTAATTTTAACAGATTGCATCTCTCGACTCCATCCAGATTGCTCATTAAGAAACAAATTTTACATGCTGGTTTATTGTTTGCATGCAAGGCATGAAGGCAACTCCTCCTCCGATGTTCTTTGATGTCACCCTTGGGGTTGTTAGCTTTCCGAATGTCACCTGTCAATGCTGATGAATGATCTTCAAGATTGATTGGTTTTGGGTGACTTTCAACGCCTTCGGGATCTTCAGCACGGCTTGTTCTTGGTACAAAATTCACCAGGCGTCACAAAATTTGCGAAAAGTTCCACCAAGCCAATGGCCAAACTTCTCGAGATCTTCCAAATGTTGGCATTCCTTCCTTCCTTCCTTCCTAGGGTGCCCTGACTTAATTCAGAAACACGCCACAGGGAATCATCCTGGAAGCCAATGAGCAATTCTGGAAAATATATATATATATATATATATTTTCCAAGGCTAAGCAGAACAATAAACACACCGGAGTCACCCTAAAGGCAATCTGGAAGGATCAGGGAAATTTTAATCACTCTTGTTCTTCCTTCCCCAAACGATTGACTGAAGTTTTGCTGATGGAAGGATAAGGCTTGTGGTGTGTGAATTTGGGGAGGATCCTTTAGCTGGCACGGAACAAGCGTGTTTTTACAAAGCTCTTATCTAAGGTGCAAGCTTGGCCCAGAAAAAGAGGGAGTTACCACCGTCCATCAAATCGGTTGAGTTAAATAATCTTAGTTGCCCGTCTCTGCCCTTTTTTCCCCAAAGATGGGGAATGCTCTGTTTTATCTCGGCTGTTCACCCCCCTGAGTCCTGCTGGAGAAGGGCGGTATACAAATCAAATCAAATAAATAAAATAAATAAATAAAGATCTTGAGACTTTGGGGGGAAAAGGGCAAAGAACAGCAATTAAGATGGTTAAAAAGGCCTGGTGACTAAAACATGTGAAGGACGGTTGCAGGAATTGGGTACGGCTAGTCTAGAGAAAAGAAGGACTAGGGGTGACATGATAGCAGCATTCCAGTATTTGAGGGGTTGCCACAAAGAAGAGGGGGGTCAATTTATTCTCCAAAGCACCAGAAGGCAGGAGTAGAAACAACGGATGGAAACTAATCAAGGAGAGAAGCAACCTGGAATTAAGGAGAAACTGCCTAACAGTGAGAATAACTAAGTATGGAATGAGTCGGCCTTCAGAAGTTATGGGTGCTTCATCACTGGAGTTTTTTTAAGAAGAGACTAGATGGCCACTTGTCTGAAATTGTATAGGGCCGTGATGGCGAATCTATGCACAGGTGCCACAGGTGGCGCACGGAGCCATATCAGTGGGCACGCGAGCGTTGCCGTAGCTCAGCTCCAGCACGCATCTGTGGTTTTTGGGTCTTTCGGTCCCACCGGAAGTTGGGAAATGGGCTGTTTCCGGTCTCCGGAGGGCCTCCGGTGGGAATGGGGAAGGCTGTTTTTGCCCTCCCCAGGCTCCTAGAAAGCCTCTGGAGTCTGGGGAGGGTGAAAAACGGGCCCACCGTGCCATCATGTACTAAAAGCAGGGGGGGGGGGCACATGCACATCTTCCATTAAACAGTGTGTCGCCTGGGTACATGCATTTTTGTGCAATAATAATCAAAATTTACAACAGTATTCATTACATTAATATTACTTCTCTAATTTTACAATACTAATATTGAACGTTATAAACATATTCACTTCTCCCTCTTGACATATCTTCTAATAAGAATATAATAATAATAATAATAATAATAATAATAATAATAATAATAATAATAATAATAATAATAATATAATCCTAATAGTCATAAAAGTAATAATAATCTTAATGTTTACATCTCTCTCTCAACATATTTTCGGTATTTCGCTAATCTTCTTCTTTTGTTTCCCTATTTTTAACTTCCATTTTTATTCTCTAACCATCAATAAAATAGTTTCCAACTATATATTTTTTTCCACAAATGCAATAAAAGGAGGATCGTCAATTGTAAATCTCCGCTAACATATTTTGTGATGGCAGCTCCTCTCTAGCTCTCCAAGTGCCTTCAAACAATGTAGATCTAATGCATTCTGGTGGCCAACAAGGAGTAAAATTCACTTCTGGAATCTGGAATTCATACAATTCATGCACTATCCAAAATTAGAGCATATAACTACTGGTGCAAAGTCAACGAAATGGAGACGGATAGAGTCCCCAAGTTATGTCTACTAGAGCAAATAAAATTACAATCACAAATCTCCTGGAACACCAAACTAACGAATTTTGTAAGAATCTGTGGCCTTCCAGTCACTTGTGTAACAGGGGAACAATTAAAAAAAGAAGAGCTGCCCAAAGAGTTAAGGATATAGAAGCACAAAATGATATAGCTACCATACCCATAAGGTGGGTAACTTGAAATGGCTGAGCAAATACAAATGCACTTTTCAAGTAGATAACTATTTGAAGTTACAACTGCCAAAACGTCTTAGAGAGATATTTACGCGAGCGAGATTCGAACAGCTTGACACAATGGTCAGATATGGGAGATCCCATTCTATACCGTACAACAGTGATGGCTAATCTTTTTGCCGTCACGTGCCTCCAGAGGCTTTCTTGGAGCCTGGGGAGGGCAAAAACAGCCTTCCCCGCTCCCCCGGAGGCCAGAAAAGCCTGTTTCCTGACTTCCGGTGGGCCCGGAAGGCCTGAAAATCAGCTGACCAGCGCACATGCACACAGGAACTGAGCTAGGGCAACACTCACGTGCCCACCGATATGGCCCACATGCCACCTGTGGCACGTGTGGCATAGGTTCGCCATCACAGTCCTACAATGAATGTCTCTGCATTTGTGGAGCTAAAGAGGTAGAAGATCTGGCTCACATCCTATTTGATTGTTGCTTGTATAAGGGGGTGAGAGATAGGTACCTTGGTCCACATACCAAACGAATGATCCATTGGGATCCCCATATCAAAACAACTTACTTTATGTGTGGCCAGAACCTGAAAATAACATTTAACACAGCACGATAGTTACACACAAAATGGTTCGGTTGAGATCTGCATACGTGGGTCTGATTGGAGTAGATTGTAAGGGTGACACCGAAATATAATTTTAAGTCACTTTATTCTATTTTATATATCTATGTATTAAATTATATTGTATCTTATCTTATAACTATTGTATTTTACCCTACTCTTATTTTAAATAGGAGCCTGATAGTACAGTGGACTAAAGCACTGTAAAATGCACTGTAAATAAGATGTTAAAGTTATTAACATCTGCTGCTTGCAATTACTGCAAGTTCAAATCTCACCAGGCTCAAGGTTGACTCAGCCTTCCATCCTTTCAAAGGTAGGTAAAATGAGGACCCAGATTGTGGGGGCAATAAGCTGACTTTGTATAAATATACAAAAGTATGAAGGCTATTGCTTAACGCATTGTAAGCCGCCCTGAGTCTCCGGAGAAGGGCGGCATATAAATTAAAAGCAAAAAAAAAAAATGTTTGCATAGGATTTTATCGGTGGTCTGTGTTTGAACCTTGTGTTTTGATATGGCCTATAGGCTAATCAATAAAGCTATCTGTATCTATATTTTTTTTCCCACAAATGCAATAAAAGGACGGATAATCAATTGCAGAGCTCGCTAACATATTTTGTGGTGAAAGCTCTTACTTCTCTCTACCAATGTAGAGCCAGAGAAAATACCTTTGGAAGAAGAAGTTATAAAAAAAAATTTTTTAGATTCTGCAGAAATGAATAGACTAACTTTGATGATTAAGGATAGGGAAGAATTAGAATATTTTAAGATACGGAATTATTTTTATTGTTGGTTGGAAAAAGGAGATATAAAGGATTAATTTTATAATTATGTATAAAATTACATATAATTATGTATAAAAATTATATATATTATGTATAAAAACTTGATGGCTAGAATATGGTTCTAGGAATGAATTGTTATAGTGGTTTGGATGAAGATCAAGATGGAAGAAACTTTTGGAAGAAGAAGAACAAAAACAATTGAGATAACATCGAGATGTCACAGGGGAGGGATGATTGATGTACTAAATGTTTGTTTGTCTTACAAAATATTTAAAAAAAACAACAACCCCAAAAAGCAATGTAGCGCTAATGCCATGATGGCAAACCCATGGCACGTGTGGCAGAGATGGCACGCAGTGCCCTCTCTGTGGGCACATGCACTGTCGCCAGATAGTCTGGTTTCCGGTGTGCTGAGCTTCGCTCTGCCGGAGCCCTGGAAACCCAAGACTAGCTGGCTGGCACCTGGTCTTCGGGTTTTTGGGGCTCCGGCATGCGCGAAGACTAGCTGGCCGGCGCATATGTGCGTGCCGTAAACCAGAAGACCAGGTGGCCGGCGCATGCATGTGGTCTCCGGGGCTCCAGCGTGTTCCGGTTTGGCCACTTGGTGCCGGAAAGTTTCGCCATGACTGATCTAATGCATTCTGTTGGCCAACCAGGAGTAAAATTCACTTCTGGAATCTGGAAAGTTTGTAGATCCCAAATCCAACCATCAGCAGGAAAAATAGAAGCGTTTCCCCAGGATGGCAGATGTCTCCAACTAAGGGTAGTTTCTTTTTAAAATTCTTCTGACATGTTCCAAATTCCAACGCTCATTATTTCAACAAGCGGTCCCCAAAAACGTTCGTTTTCTAATTCATCATATCGACTCCAAATATGCAGACGTCAGATAAGTCACCTTGCGCACAACAACAACAATAATAATAATCCTACCTCCCAGAGTTTTTACAAACACTCCCCGATTCCCACAGGAAAAATTCCAGCCGAATTCAGCAACTCTCGCGTTCCCAGTCCTGTCACTTGGCGTTTCAATCTCACGTTTTGAAACAAAAACAAAACTGCCGGTAAAGTATCGTGCAATTTTCCCCCTCTCTCCTGCTTTCCCTCGATACACTCAGCGTCCGAAGCCCAGATTAAAAATACATTATTTTTCTCTCCGCTTTAAATGCCGTCGAAAGGCAAAAGGAGCAGGAATAAATCTTTCCTAGCAAAGCCACAAACCCCACAACAGGTGTGTTTCTATAGAATAGAATAGAATAGAATAGAATAGAATAGAATAGAATAGAATAGAATAGAATAGAATAGAATAGAATAGAATAGAATAGAATTTTTTATTGGCCAAGTGTGATTGGACACACAAGGAATTTGTCTTGGTGTATATGCTCTCAGTATACATAAAAGATACGTTCATCAAGAATTATAAGGTACAACCCTTAGTGACAGTCATAGGGTACAAATAAGCAATCAGGAAACAATATCAATATAAATCGTAAGGAGTAAAAATAAGGATGATTTTGCTGGGAATAACAGTAAAAATAAACGACTATGCTGGGTTTAACAGTAAAAATAAAAATGATTACGTTGGGATTAAAGTAAAAGATGAGGATTAAGATGAAGATGATGTGC